AGCCCCAGGACAGATAATTCTTCCAAATATCTTTTCCTTAATAACACAACACCCTATTTATCTGGGTCCTGCATTAAAAGCTGCATTCCAACCCTCGCTTGTAGCTAGATGTGGACATGTGGCCACATTCTAACAAATGAGATGAGAACAGAAAGACTGTTAGGCAGCTTTTAGGGGAAATCCTTGTAAATTAGCTATATGGCCCTTTGACTGTTTCTCTTTGTCTTTTCTTATTCTGCTGAATGTATAGAGATGCAATGACTGGAGCAGTAGTTATCATTTTGGGTCATGAGGACAAGGACTGTTCCAAGGGTTATGGAAAGGACAACTGAAAAGTTTATGGACTAGCTACAGATATGAATGTGTGTGTGTGTGTGTGTGTGTGTGTGTGTGTGTGTGTGTGTGTGTGTGTATGTTACTGAGAACTGAGCCCAGGATCTTCACATTGAGCCACATTCCTAGTTTTGTTTTTGTTTTTTTTTTCCTTTCATTTTGTGTATTTGGTACAGGGTCTCACTACACAGATTCAACTCTGGTGATCCTCCTGTTTTCAGCCTCCCCAGCACTGGGATTACAGGCATGTGCTACCACGCCCAGGCACTGTTGCCAGCTCAGCGTGCTCTGCGGGTGGGGCCAACACAGCATGATTAAACCCTGGTCCTTGTGCTTGCCAAAGCAGGTGCTTTGTCCACTGAGCTATCTCACCAGCCCTAAATTGGAGGGGTTTTTGTTTTTTGTTTTTGTTTTTGTTTTTTTTTTTTTCTAGCTCCAGCTGCCTTAAGGGTGGGTCTGGTGTGGCTTGTGGAACTGGGGATCAAACCTCGGTCCCCTGCGCCTAACTGAGTTTGCCTAAGCAGGCGCTTTAAACAACTGAGCTAACTGGCAAGCCCCCTTTTTTTCATCTTTATTTTTGTTGTGATTTTTTAAAAATGTATTTGTATCATTACACAGCTGGGACTTGTAGTGATCCTCCTGTTTTCAGCCTCCTCAGTGCTGGGATTACAGGCATGTGCCACCACACCTAGTCTCGGTGGCTAGCTCAGTGCACCTGGGGGCGGGGCTGGAGCAGCCTATGCTGCCGAGGTTGGAACCCCAATCCCTGTGCTCGCGTTACAGGCATTTAGTCTGCTAAGCTTTCTCGCCAGCCCTTACCTTTATTTTTGGAGACAGAGTCTTGCTAAGTCATTAGACTAGGCTAGGCTCAAATTTATGGTCTTCTTGCTTCAGTCTCCCTGAGGTTAAGGCATGCATTCCCACACCAAGCTAGATTTCTTTTATTCAAGGGATGTAAGTTTTAAACCCTTATTTAAACCACGGCTGTTTGGGAATTACTCTGAGCACTAAGGCCACAGATCAAATGAGGCACCACCTCAGACTGGGTTGGGCTACAAATTAGACCACACACTGATTTATTCTTTCAATGCTTATGACTGAACATGAGCATGAATCAGGTACTTTCTAGGTCTAAGGGACACGTCCATGTCCAAATCAAAGTCCCTGCTTCCATGCACTCATGTGCTAGGGAAACAAAGACACAAAAACAAATAGACAGGGGCTGGTGAAATGGCTCAGTGGTCTAAAGCATCTACTTAGAACAAGCTTAGCAAAGCACAGGGACC